AATTTATTTAAGGGCCAATAGGATTTTGTGGAATAATTTCATTGTAATGATTGGATGAATTGGGAATCTCGTGATCACGACAAACAACCAATAACGATCTCTTGCCAGCTCTACTTTACCAAAAAGGTTTCTTTATCAAAATCAGGTTAATGAGTCAAATCTCTTAAACAATATGAAATGAAATCATAAGCATATTTAATTATTAGCAGTTAAACTTGGTAGAATGAATTTCTTTTATTAATCGACAATGTAAACCTTTATTATTGTTGTGGAAGTTTGTAATTAAAAACGATATCGCGCGATTTTTAATTAAATTTTGAATATTTGCCAAAACCTAAGCTCCATAATAAGTAAAAAAAGAGATGTGTGAATTGCATCCCAAGTATTAATAATCCCTTAAAGGAATATATAAAAAAATTGGTTAATGATACGAAGAACATGCAGAAATGATAACCAATTTGTCAAAAATCACACAATAATGCGGACCTAATCAAGTCACTGGAGTTTACAGGAATAAATGATTCTATTTAAAATTTTCATTTCTCGATTACGTATAATTGCAAATATGATAAAATGAATAAATATAAGGTATTTTTGTATTTAGCTGAGATGTCGGATTAATATAACTCTCATTTTCAAACATATACGAGTGACTTCTTGTTGTCATTTCGTGGCGACCAGGACTGAGTACGTAACCTAACAAGCCACTTGACAAACTATTAGTCACAAGTCAAATTTAGTCAAGACTATCAAAACCATGTCACAGCAAACTAGATTCTCGCCTCACTCATTGGTTGCTATTGTCACCGATTAAATTTGGGAGAGCGTATTTTAATTGGTGATAACAATTATTTTTGTTTTGTGTGGATCAGAATGAATAGGAGATCAATGAATTGATTTTGGTATTAGTGAATAATTTTGGTCAAAGAAGATAAAAGTTTAAATAAAATATTTCTATCTTATTTATTTAGTTTTATTTAGTCGAAACTAATTAACTTGTGACAAAGTTATTAAACTAAGACAAAGTTATTACAAAGTTATTTTACAAGCAAGTTGAATTTGAGCTTCTTTTATACAATTAAATTAATTAATAACAACTTCATTGCAATCTAACATTCTAGCAGCGATATCGCACTATAATTGCGACGTAACATTCTAACCGCGACGCTAATTTCAACATTATACGAATAAAATAAAAATGTATGGTTGGCTCAGTCTAAAGACCTCCTATTGCTGCGCCACACGCTCAAATTTCAAAAATTGCGATTTCATGATTCGTTCAAAAATGCAATAAAAACTTTTCAAAAAGGCTTCACGTGATTTTGGTTAAAAAATTTATTTTCCTTCCTGCCAAATTTAGACATGATTGTCGAGTATTAGTCTAAATTTAGTAACGATGAACTAAAACTAGTCTAAATTTAGCAATGATCCTAGCGCTAAATTCTTCATGAGCATAGTAAAGTACATGTTTTAAAAAAGAATAGAACTCTACAACAAATAATTTTTTTGATAAAATCTCTTTATTACATTAAAATTAAAGACCTATTCCATCAACTAATAGAGCTATTTTTTTAAAAGGTAGGGCAGAAAATGACTTCTATACTTTTAAAATTTGCACAAAATTTAGGAGGTCTTTAGACCGAGCCAACTATAATACAAATAAAATAATAAAAATAAAATAAGAAATAAAATATGAGGAATAAATGTAGATATAAAATAAAGTAAAAAATAAAAATAAAAGATTTGGTTCGGAATTAGGGTATTTCGACTAACAATTTAGCGTTAAATCCTAATTCTGGTAACACTATGGAAAGTTGAAAAAAAAATAATACATTCCTTATTAGAAATATCGATGAAAAGGCAGGTAATGTAACTTTCTTACTGACCCTATAGGCCAATATCTATTCACAATCACTGATTTGTAGCTTGTCTTCTTCTCAACTCTCAACAATGTAAGGTAAAGAATGAGTTGTTGGAAGGGAGAGAAATCAATAATGTGGGAGAAAATTGTTAAAAACATACTTATTCAAATTTCGTGTCTCAAATTCATGACATTAAGGATATCATCTTATTTAGAATTAGAACATTTGACACTCATGAAATGTGACTCTGTGCAAAAAGCAAAAATTTAATTTACCACATGTAACAATTTATTTTTTTTCGGGTCTGATTCATTTCGTCGACAGTCATTTCGTCGACAGTCATTTCGTCGACACTCATTTCGTCGAAAATTTGTTTCATCGAAGGTTCATTTCGTCGAAAATTGTTTCGTCACAAAAAAAAAACTTAATTAAACAACTTTCTCCTCGCACTTCCTACACACTCCGCTTTCTTCACCTAATTTCTTAACCAACTTCCCACACCCCTCACATTTAACTCGTTCAGTCTCTGGCTCGAGGATGAAATAATTTTCGACGAAATGAACATTCGGCGAAATGAACTTTCGACGAAACGAACTTTTGACGAAATGAACTTTCAATGAAACAAACTTTCGACGAAATGGGTGTCGACGAAATGATTTTCGACTAAGTAAATGCGACCGTTTTTTTTCAGCCATGTATCAATAAAATTAAACTTCACTCAATCATGCGAAATCCAACACGCGATTTACAACAAAGTTGTATTTTCACCAGGGCTGCCTGCGTAAAGGTGTTAAAGCCCTAATTTGTTAATAATTTGACTTGACTAAAATTGACTTAACATAATGATTGAATAGTTTAGTCAGTTTAGCCAAATGCTCATTTAGGCTAGCCCTGTTATGAGAATTTATGAAATAACAAAATTTTATTTGTGCGTTTTGTACAATCAAGTGTTCTATATATGTATTAAAAATAAAATATTAAAAATTACTAACAAGTAAACCTTATTACACTAAATCAGGAAGATCCAAATCCTCCCTATAGCTAATTGTGGCTTCATAGAAAG